CGATCGTTGTGTTGATTGGTTTCGCTTAGGTCGGCTATCATAGTTTCCCACATGCATAAATTCCATGATTTTCTGACAGCATCTCTAAGGTCTAGTAAACCTTGTGGTATCTATTTGACTTCATTCATCCTCTAGATATAATATATTGATGCAATGTTGAACTTGCACACACGTCATGATTTGAACAACGCACACGTGTCCATACAATCAAAAGATTTTCTCACTTTGGCAAAATGTTTACAATGACTACTTATTGTCATCTATGATTCCCGGGTATTCGATCGTATAACATTAGGAAGCTATGAACTGAACTTGTAAAGAAACCATAGAAAATTTTTATTGGTGTGTTTTGGGATTTTAGTCTAACGTGCATGTATCATTATTGAGTTTATTTGTTTTACCAAGCATATTTTGCATTTTAAAATTATCCTCTAAAATTAAAACAACTGGCCTATTAGCTCAGTTGGTTAGAGCGTCGTGCTAATAACGCGAAGGTCGCAGGTTCGAGACCTGCATGGGCCAAAAATTTTCATATTTTAATTTTTAACACCTCAATTTTAACGAAAAGGTATTTTCCTGAAATATTATTAAATAATAATATCCCCTAAAGTTTCTAAAATAATAAAAAAACCCCCTATCATTAGTAAACATCTAAACCGTTAAGAAGTTATTAAAACTTACACTATTAGGAGTTAATAATTATTCATGAATTATTCTTTTATCCTATCGTTTATTTTAACACATCAATTTTAACGGAAATGTATTTCTGTTATTTCACAAAATTCAGGGGAATTTTTATTATAACCAAAGTATAATTACATATGTAGTTATCAGTCATTTAAAAAAAATATTTTTTCAGAAAAAAAAAAAAAAAAAAAAAGAAGAAGAAGAGGAAGCCACTCTTCATCCACTGCCTCTTGATCCTATATTTTCGATCTTCATCATCAATTTCAAAACAAAATATAATTTATATGGATAGCTGAAAAAACACATAACTCTTAAGAAAATAATAATATCATAATTAATATAACCCATGAAATATTAATTAGTGAATATTTTAAATAGATTACATAACAGCTAATCACCAAACAATAATAATAAATGTTACAAGTTTTATGTTGTTAATTTATGAGTTTATAAATTTCATGTTCATATGAATTCAGACAACATTGTACTGATAATTAATATGATAAAAATGGAGAAATTCATTCCGAAAAATATGATTAACAAATAATTGTAGTTATTTCAAATAATTTGAGATTGGAAACAAATAGATATTCTAGTAGTCTATGCCTTTGAACAATCAACTTGAAGCCTTCCCTCAAAATTTACCATCAATTTGTTTAATTTCTTGTTGCTTATTCTCTGTTGATGGACTCTTGTATCCTCCAAACTGCAGCCAAAATGTAAATATATTATAATAATACTCTCAAAATATTAGAATAAACACATTAAGACTTTTTTTTTTAGTATTTAATAGTATTTAACATGATATAATAACCAGTGAAGAACATTTTTTATTGGTGTATCATTGAGTTTACTTGGATTTTTAAGAACATTTTGAATTTGTCAACAAGGGCCTATTAGCTCAGTTGGTTAGAGCGTCGTGCTAATAACGCGAAGGTCGCAGGTTCGAGACCTGCATGGGCCAGAGTCTTCATATTTTTTACACTTCAGTTTTAACGAAAAGGTATTTTTCTGAATATTATTAAATATAATATTCACTGAAATTAAACGCCTCAATTTTACAGAAATGAATTTTTGTTATTTCATAAAATTCAGAGAGAACTTTTATTATAACCAAGAATAATATATATGTACTTTGTCGATATCAGTTATTTCAAAAATAGATAAAATTAATAACCTTATGGGGTCTAAAAGTAATTAAAAAAATAGGGTAATATTTCTGGAATAGTGTGCCAAACATTATTTGGAGAATAGGATTGGGAATATGGATAAAAATAGGGAGTCAAACGCACCCTTAACTTTTTCAAAAATCCTACCCAAAACTATAAGACAAACACACCTCGATATTTTTGACCAGAATTAAAAAAGATTAGCCCACATTTAAGTAGCTTTTGTTTCTTGTTGACAATATGAATTATGTTGGTCTAAAACCAGTGTTTTAAAATCTGATTCGACCCGGGCAGTAAATTGAAAAAGATCATCCCACATTAAGATAGCTTTTGTTTCTAGTTTACTCTCAAAATTTAAAGACAATATGAGTTATGTTGGTCTAAAAACTAATGTTTTAAAATCCGGTCTGGCCTGGTTGATTGAACCGGTTGAATCAAGACTTGGGGCCTTCATTGGGTCGAGTTACTAATTTTCTATTCATCGAAAACTCTAGAAATTGGGACAGTGATCTACAAATAATTAAAGGTTAGGATGTTTGGGCTTTTAAAGAGGAAGGGCTAGTGAGTATAATGGTGGCGATGGAGGTGATTTTCGATGAGTGAATCGATCGAAAATCACAAAACTAAATTGTTATTGCCGATTGGCGAGACAATCAAGAGAGGTATAATATGAGTTTTGGTTAGGAGGCTCAGGGGAGTGTTTTCATGGTGATGGGAAGTGTTGTCGTTGTTGGAAATAGGCCCTATTTGCCCTGGTTTGCCGACATCGGTGGTGGTGTTTGAGGTGTTTTTGTAATATTTCAAACCCCTAGGGACTTCTGGTAATTTTTAGGGGTGTTTTTGTTATATTTCAAACTTTCGGACATTTGTTGGAGCTACCAGTCAACCCAGGACTTGGCTATTTTACCGGGTTTCACCCGGGTTTGTTATTAAAACACTACTAAAAATAGGCCTCTAAAAAGACCCCTACAATAAAAAGTGTGTATTTTCGGCTGTTGTCTGGATGAGAAGAGATTATCCCAAATTGATGTAGCCTCTTTTCCTAGCTTGCTCACTAATTTTAAAGCGACAAAATGAGTCCTGCAGGCCTTAAAACTCGTCTCTAGAAATTCCTATCACTGAAAATTGGTACTTGAAATTCGAAGAATTTATCCGACATTGAAGTAGCATATGATTCTAGCTTGCTCGCAAAATACGGAGATAATAGAAGTTAGCTAGAACTGTAATATGCGTCAACTTTTGTACATTTCCAGTCTTTTCAGAGATTCATGTATAAAGAAGATAAATAAGAAAGCTAACATACATCTCTTTCTTCTTTGCGAATGTCTTTTAAGAGACTACAGGATCAGGAATATATATATATATATAAAGCAAAAAATTGGAAAAGCATCAAAGGACACTCGAGGAGAAAAATTTTAAATTGCCATAATCCGGTGATGGATATAGAAAACAATGAAGGTTTTAAATTTCATAATCATATTACAAGTGAACCAGAGAACTTCATTTTAATTATCATAATTAAAGTTGTAAAATTAGTGACTTTCAATGGCAATTTTTAACATTAAACATAAAATTAATTATTATAGATGTAATTAGTGAAAGCTTCATTTAAAAGTTGTTTGTTCACAAAGAATGAACATGGATGTCATCCTTCTTCATAATCAGGCTTATATAAAAGAGAACAAATATTTGATTTTCTCTTTTGGAATAATTAGAGATTCTAATACATTAACATGTTTTAAGAGAAAAGAATGAGCTTGTATCAAGCAGCATTGAGACCAAAGGCAAAGGATTGAATCATTCATCTTTAATATCAATTACATATATACTTTCCTTCTTCATATCATCCATTCTTTTATGTTTATTCTTTGCCTTTATGCTGCAACATCATACATCAACTGTGTTTGAATACAAGAAATGGATAGAATAACATTGCTTCTTTATTCCCTATTGATTCATATGATTGGTGTAACATGTGTCGAGTTCATGATACTATGTATCTCTGCTCTTTGCCTGATCCTAGTGTTGATCTTATTGTTGTTTAATTGCAAGGAGGATTACTTATATTTTGCTTATTGGTAGAATGTATGAGTACCTCTCTTAATGAAATCCAATTCTAAGTCATGAAATGTCCTAATCCAATCTAGAAAGATTCTTGAGAAATTCCTAGACTAATTTTCAGGTCCTTGCTTGAGTTGCATGCAAGGTTACTCTGCTTTCTCTTTAATTCCTCTAATAATTTTATTCATTTCATAGTAGAGAAATTATTTAATCTTCTGAAAAGAACAACATCATGAATTTTATAAACTATTTGACTTCGTTCATCCTCTAGGTATCATATATTGATGCAATGCTGAATTTACATACACGTCATGATTCGATCAATGCACATGTGTCCATACAACCCAAGATTTTCTCACTTTAACAGTGCCTAGCTGTTGTCATCTATCATTTCCAAGTATTTGATCGTATAACATTAGGAAGCTATGAACTGAACTTGTAAGAAACCATTTTTTATTGGTGTATCATTGAGTTTACTTGGATTTTTAAGAACATTTTGAATTTGTCAAACAAGGGGCCTATTAGCTCAGTTGGTTAGAGCGTCGTGCTAATAACGCGAAGGTCGCAGGTTCGAGACCTGCATGGGCCAGAGTCTTCATATTTTTTACACTTCAGTTTTAACGAAAAGGTATTTTTCTGAAATATTATTAAATATAATATTCACTGAAATTAAACGCCTCAATTTTAACAGAAATGAATTTTTGTTATTTCATAAAATTCAGAGAGAACTTTTATTATAACCAAAGTATAATTATATATGTACTTTTGTCGATATCAGTTATTTCAAAAATATATAGCTGAAAAAACACATAACTCTTACGAAAATAATAATATCATGATTAATATAACCCATGAAATATTAATTAGTGAATATTTTAAATAGACTACATAACAACTAATCACCAAACAATAATAATAAATTTTACAAGTTTTATGTTGTTAAGTTATGAGTTTATAAATTTCATGTTCATATGAATTCAGACAACATTGTACTGATAATTAATATGATAAAAATGGAGAAATTCATTCCGAAAAATATGATTAACAAATAAGTGTAGTTATTTCTAATAATTTGAGATTGGAAACAAATAGATATTCTAGTAGTCTATGCCTTTGAACAATCAACTTGAAGCCTTCCCTCAAAATTTACCATCAATTTGTTTAATTTCTTGTTGCTTATTCTCTGTTGATGGACTCTTGTATCCTCCAAACTGCAGCCAAAATGTAAATATATTATAATAATACTCTCAAAATATTAGAATAAACACATTAAGACTTTTTTTTTTAGTATTTAATAGTATTTAACATGATATAATAACCAACAATACTAATAAAAAAAAAAAAAAACCATCACATAAAAAACACTTTGACCCAAAATTCTTTTGAGGTGTTCAAAAAAAGAAAAAGAAAATACTATCATTAATTTTTAAATGTTGAAAAAATCATCAGAAGGCAATTAGGTAAAAACTTATCAACTTATAAAACATAATTTCTAATGGATTATTAATGTTTGATTGATTGTAGACATATTTTTATTATTTCATAATCTCAGAGGATTGTTTGATATTTAATCATACATTAGAGATCAATATAACTCTAACATAAACATAAAAATATTTTCAACTAATTACAAATACTCTTCATTAAATATAGTTTATATAAATTGGGGAAATTTTGTATAAATTAATAATTGTTAGATTATCATTTAAAAAATTAATGTTAATAATGGCTGTTACCTTAGAGGAGGAGCATTATCAGAGGGCGGCAATAGGATGCGGGTGAGCTTGTGTGCTTCGTTGTTACAACTGATGACGTGGTTGAAGCAGAGATAGCGTCCGTACGATGATACATCTTCAAACACACAAATGTGTGCGTCAACACTGAACCTGAGATCGACTGTAACAAACAATCCATCTTCATACATCTCAGCCGCTCCTTTTAAGTACGGATTCGTGATGGTCAAATCAGGACTCATCATCAACCCTCCATTTATTGATACCATATTTATCCCTCGATCCATCGCCAATGCCCACGCTGTTTTCTCAGCTAGCGTTTTCGATAATGCATGCCATAACTGCACAAAATCATGTAAAATAAGTTTTTAATAATTAAAATTAAAATAAAATATTATCCATTTAATAATAATAATACCTTGTATTATCAAATCTGATTAAAGAACCAAAATTCTCTTCAGATTTCTTAAAAAAATAATACTTTATTATTAAGTTTTAAATATTAAAATAACTGATAAGAGAATAATTAAACACATATTTATTAATTTATAAAAAGTAATTTCTCATAGCTTATTAATTCATTAATAATATATATTTTTTTGTTATTTCAAAACCTCATAGGAATGTTTGATATTTAACCATACAATAGGGGTCAATATAACTCTAAAATAAACATAAAAATATTTCCAACTAATTACAAATAGTTTTCATAAAAATATAATTTATATAAATCTGGGAGATTCTATATAAATTGATAATTATTAGATTAAAAAAAAAAAGATTAATAGATTAATAGTAATAATACCTTGTACTTCTTGCAAAAATTAATGTCACTCCAATTTCTCTCTTCAAGATCAGACGACGTCGTGTTGCGATCGTCATTCCATATAACAGCTGTGACGGATGAAGTAAAAACAACTTTGTCTAGTGTATCTGTTTGGGCACATGCTTCCAGCACATTGTGAGCTGCTCTCACCTCTACTTCCGCCATTACTTCCTGCAACAAACAGATCAAACCCTAAACTTTAATCTAACTTCTATCTATCAGGTTTTTGGGTTTTGCGAGAGAGTTCAATTGAACTAAAACATTCGATTTGCTATGCTAAATCGTTATTTATATAACTTCATTAGGGTTTTATATGGGTGTTGAGATTGCACTACAGGAAAAAAAGGTTATTCCGTGGCCTCAATAAAACCAAAAAAAACATTGGAATTGATGCTATCCAATTGCGTCGTAATATATCTTCTTAGAAGTGCAAATTCCGTTGGAAGATGATGATATTTCAACAGCACAAGCTAACAAGCGTTGAAGATGATGTTTTTCAACGAATTTTGATCGCATTAATAAAAATGTAATTAGAAAACAACAAATTTCTTATGGTGTTAGAATTCGAAAATTTAAAAAAATTCAAAGAAATTTTAGGTTTAAGACTCATTTTAATTGAAACCAATAAAAAGTAAAAGAGTATTAGGTCAAGGTCTAACCTACCATTCAAACTTTTATTCAACTGGTTTGGGTTCTACCAATTGACTCCTCTATTAAGCATGTGGACATTACTATGTTATAAAGCTAATACCTTTTCTTTTAATTGATTGTTTTTTTTTTTTAATGATCGGGGTGTCTGAGCTAGTTTACGTTTGGGACCTGTGAACTACCGGCTGTGTAAGAGCTCTAGTGCTTATCCCCATTTTCAACCGAAGAGGGACTTAAACTCAAAACCCAAAAATCCCTATCAAACAACTCGACCACTCAGAGGTAGTTAATTGATTTAATTATGAAAAAAATTAAAAGATAAATAAGGTAAAGGAAGAAGTGGGTAATTACATCATAGGTGGAGTAATCAGAAGGAGGCTCAAAGGAGTAGAACAAGCCAGAACATCCCCTCAAAGCATCCGTTATGCTGTGATAATCAAAGGGGTCTGCTTGAAATACTTTCAATTTCTTGTTGCTGGAACATAATTCTTCATAACTTTTCAAACTTCCTGCTTATCCACAAACCACAAATTCAATTATTAATATATAATATGGTATAAATCAATTTTCTCAAATACCAATTAAATAAAAAGTTTGAATATCTTTATAAAAAAACATTGAAATACGGAGATAAAGTTTAGTAAGAAGATCATAATTTTTAAGTATTATATTAAAAAAAATTAAGAAATTAATAATTGGAGTAATATGGAGACAATTAAGATTTTTTTTTTTTAAATTAAAATTAATAAGTGGGGTCATTCTCCAATTCATTTGTGGCTGTCCCTGAATTTGAGTATCTTCATATAAAGTTTATTTCTTAGAATTTCGAAAAATTTGAGTTAAATTAAAGTCCTCTTTCTTTTCACATTAATCTTTTTTTTTTTTAATTCTATAAAAAATTATTGCTTTAAAATGTTTAATTTAAGTTAATAGATAAATCTATACTGTTCAATCTATTAGATTTTTGAAAATTATCAACAAAAAAAAAAAAAAATCTTTCTTAAAAATCATCAAAACTTTGTACTCTCTGCCCTTTACTTATTTTCCAAAAACCAAAATTTAGTTTAAAATAAATAAGATTTATAAACTAGTATAGATGGAGCATTAATGCTAAAAGCCTTGTATTGTTTTTTAAATATACCTTATAAATAATGTAAATGCAATCTAAAGAATTTAAATTATTCTACCTCAATTGAAAGAAAAAAAATTAATGAAAATTGTCGTATAGAATGGACAAAAACCTCATAAAAGTCTACGAAAAATGAAAGGTATATAAAACGACAGGCCGAATGAATAAAACAAGAAGAAACGACAAGGCGGCTGACCGGTCTGGACGCAGCATGGACGTGTAGCCACGGTGCAGGAGACGGTGGACAGGAGCCGAGTGGCCGGAAGCGTCCATTACCCAAACAGTTTTAAACAATTGCATCGCAAGAATAATCATGGTGACGTTGGAGCCATTGGAGTTTATTAATGAAAGATTTGAAACTTAAAAAAAAAAAAACAAACAAAAGAAAACGATCTTTCTCAAAGGACGAGAGAAAAATAAAAGAAGGTTTAAATTAGAGAAGGGAGGAGGGTAGAGGGAGATTTTATTGAAGCATTGAAAAATGTGGTTAGGAGATGGGTAGAGAAGGTGGTAGTTAGCAATGTGATAATGAAAGAGTTGATATTACAAACTACTGTATTGATTGCTACGTGTTCCTTTTTTTTGTTTGGTAGAACGCGTGCATATGATACTGGGTAGCTTTTAGTATGATCTCTCGTGTCTATATATATATTAATCTCGGAGTGTCCGTATTAATTATTCATATCTTATTATTTTTCGAGATCTTAAAATTATGTCGATAAAGTTTCAACACCTATCACTATAGAATCGTGAGGAATTCGAACTCAGCGAACGATTTCAAGACGGACTCTCCATTATTAATAGAGAAGATCACCAAGATTCCTTGAGCCATTGTCGAACTTATTCCAATTCCAAGATCTCGAATCGAATTGGTATTCAATATCCATTCATTGAGATCTTTTGTTGAATTGATCTTTCATAAGTATTTCAATGTTTGTTTGAGAGGACTCTTTATAATCATCGGAAAAATTATTAAAAATTATGACACTATTATTGGTGATAAACCACCATTTTTCGATGTTTTCTGCCTGCGTTTGGTAAAATACATTTTTTTCCATGGTATATTATATCTTGATCACGTTGACGCTAATAGTTCTATTTTTCTCTTTTGAATGATAAAATAAAAAAAAAGGAATACTATGCTTTCAACGATAATAGCACAAACTTCAAATTTGATATGTAAATTCATATTGTTTTCATTTTTTAAAGAAAAAATATTGAATATATATAGAACGAGTAAAATAGAGAAAATGAAGATTATTTTTGACTTTATTTTATTTATCTTGGGCTATTTTAGAATCAAATTTTGTCTACACCGGAGAGTTATCAATAAGATTTATGCAGATTAATTAGTGATGTTATGGAATCATCAATGCAAATTTATTAGAAAAAAGTTTAACATCCATAGGATGACAAAAGTTTTAGATTATAGATGTTTATATTAATTATAATTGCTCAAAATGTTTGATAATTGGGTAAAGAGATAGTATTGAAGTTGTGAATGAATGTTTTGGGTTTGTTCATATTGTCAAAGAAATTTTTTTCTTTCTTTTATATACAAATAATTAAGTCAAGGCTCGGTCAGCCTGTTTGTGAAGGAATTCAATCTTAAGACATTTAATATAAGATTTTTGAAGCTTTTTAAAGTTTATTATAATAAAAGGAGTTTCAGTTGTTCTATTAATAGTATATCAGATTTGATATCTGAGTATATTATAAAATCTATTCGAATGATAAAATTATATATATACGTGCAAGCAATTGAGGCTTGTCCAAGCTAAGACCATATAATTAATGAAAATTTATTTTTTATAATTCATTCAATTGCTTAAAAGGAAACAAAAATAAATAAAAGAAATTCTTATTGTTCATTATTTCTCACCCAGAAGAATATTTAAGTGTCTATTAATTCATGACTTAAAATATCTTTCGAACTTAAAATACGATTCATAAATTTAAATTATACGTTAATATTTTAAATATATTTTATATATATTCAAAAACCATATTCAAATACAACTATAAACCTGTGGAAAAAAACTTTTAAACATTTTTTTATTTTACATTAATTTTTAAAATTATATTCAAAACTTTTGGAATCAATTTTATCAAATGCATTTTCATAAGATTTGTTGTAACCCTTATTTTTTTCAAACAAATTTGTATTTAAAATTCATGTCAATAATCTTTTTAAAGAGCTAACTGAGAGAAGCTTATTAAATTGACACATTATGTGTCTTTAAAGAACTAGAAATCCAATTATTAATTAGATACCTTTTAAGTATTAAATAAGGAAAGGATTTGATTTCATAAGCAACTAAAATACTGAATTTCCAGCTAAGAAAGCCAGTTTTTTGACCATTAATTATTATATGGACTGATTTTAATCAATTAATTATATTGCACGTTGCTTATTCATGAATTCTAATATTTTTTTTTTTATGTTTTATAAAGGACGAGAAACTCTCATTTATTTAATATTTTTAATTATATATTAACATGATTATTTTGCTTTTGATTTCAAAGTAAAGGGCATCCTTAAAATTAATTTTTAATTTCTATCAAAATAAGGGTTTCATACTTGCCTAAATAAATGGAGGAAGATTCCACGTAGATATTATGTCATTTTGAAAAACGCCATGCAATTCTTTAATTGAGTTTTTTATTTTTTTTTTTTATTCAATTTCTCATAAAACTATTTTGAAACTTGAAACGCAAAACTCAATTCCAGCTTTTATTCATGAAATTTTCTTACTTAATCAGTTGGGCACAATCTAATGTCATATAAATTAAATAAAAGGCATAGGAAGACATTGGGGTCTAAAAATTAAATTTTGGAGAAAATACTTATGATTTTTCTACATAAATAATTTCTATAATAGCAACTCATACTGATACTTGAAAATACAAAATACGTACAAACAAGAAGTGTAAAATATAACAAAGATGTGTAATATATGATATAGACTCATAACATACTGAATATAACCTCTAGTTAGTAACTTAGTGTAAAACACATAATATTCAATGAATCAACGTTGTTTTAGAGCTCTATCCATTAGTAGTTTTAGAGTTTCAGGGGATTACTTAAGTGGTTGTAAGCCAACTCAGACACTTCGATCATAAAAAAAAAAAAAAAAAAAAAAAAAAAAAAAAAAAAAAAAAAAAAAAAAAGAGGTTAAAATCGTAAGTTACAATAGATTTCCACATTTTTTTTTATTAATCGATACTTGTTAAGTAGGAGATTCCTCTATAAAGAAAGTCTAGCGAGTACAAATTGTAAACCATTAAAAACACCTAACAAAATTAGATTCACGTTTAAGTTATGGGATTTGTAATTAGTAAATTTGAAGTCAATCCAAGAAGATTGTGTTGAAAATTGTTGGCCATTTGTGGAAAGATATTGCAAGATAATGAATGCCTACAATTGGCAAGGCCATGGATTAAAATATTCCAACGTGTTACATATGAATTATATTGCAAAGTCAACCATGATGAAAACGAAAATATAAATCTTGATCTTGTTATAAAATATATTTGCTTATAATATAATAAACTCAGAGAGTGATTAATGTCTTCTTTTGACAAATGTACCATCTTTTTTTATTGAAAAGAGGGTGAGAAAATAATTTAAAAGGAAAATACTTGAGAAATAATAATGGGTGATCGTGATCCCAAGATCAAGGGATATTATTGAAGGAGGTTGGAGAGCATGTGGTCAGTATAAGATTTTGTTAGAGTAGGTACTCTACAGCCAATCAATTATTGTAGAATTAACTCTTTGTAATAATGTTCATTGATCAATAAAATGCATTTTATTCTATATCGCGTAAATCATCATTGTATGTATTGATATATGTCCTCAGAATGGTAGAACCATGACGAGGGTATCAAGTATTTCAAATCTTGATAGTGAGAACCCTATGAGCACATATGGTGGTCATTCTAGAAATGTCCGTAGCCCTAGTATTGTTCTAAAGTAAGGGCACAGATAATACGGTAAGGTTATCATAATGTTGAATGACTCTGTCGAAAGGCAGTGACTGATCTCACTTGTCAAGAATGTTTGGTGACAACCTGGTGCAACACATGGGTGCTTGCTATAGGCAAGTTCATTGGACTGACCCACCAGAGGATTTCATATGGATGGTAACCCTAGTGTCTATGGAACAAATCCTCTAACGAATGGTGGTACATGTGATCCTTAGACTTGAGATCACTGGAGCGCCTTGTGCACCGATTGGTGTAGTTTGACACTAGCCTAACGCAGTTCTATTCAGAGTTGTTAATATGATAGTGATTGGTTGCATCAAGGAGTGTATCAAGATTATGGTGGATAGACAAATGATTTATCACTCTTGGGTACGGGAGAAGTTATCTCACG